AAGATTATCGGAGTTTAGAATCGGACACACTAGATTCATATTCTCGTGGATCTGAATCTGACTGAGCGGATTGCATTAGCATGAACTGAATAAGATTCGGTATTTCAACCTGCTTATTTTGAGATTTGTTGTGAGCTGGCTCTACATAAATAAGCCACACTCCTAATCCTTACATAAGGCTATACAAGAAGCCTTATGGCGGACATCAAACCGTTTCAGCCACTCAGTTAACTACAGGAAGCTAATCAAGGAAATACATGCAAGCTGCTGCATTTGTTTTGATGCAGCAGTAACATTTACAGGAGTGTGCAGAGATGTGGGGTCCATTGGACAGATTAGATGCTGAGACATGCAGCACAGTTTGCTCAATTAGTCCACATAACAGGACCAAAGAAGACATCCGCAACGAGAAAACGTTTGCAAGAGAAGTAGCGTTAGGAGGTAGAAGAAAACAGATTCACTCGTGTTCAAGCTGAACGGAAGAAGAAAAAAATGCACTTGCGTAAACATCAGAGGAGATACAAATAAGTCTTGAGTCAGGCCTATTTGTTAAAACCAAAGAGGAAACGGTCAGCAGGGGATCAGAGGGAGCCTTGCTGCTGATGTCACATCCCTCCGGCGGCCCAGCGGGGCGTAGTTCTGAGGAGGCACACACTACAACCCCACACGAACACACAGGGAATGAAAATGACAACATTAGCAGGGTCGGTCATTATCAGTAATGAAGGAGTAAATAGCTGGTTGTTTATAGAGTGTTGCTCAGGGACTTAAAAAAATAATAAAAATAAACGGATATGGAGTTAGAGCAACACAAAAATCAAATCAAATGACTAATGAATTGTTCAACCAAGTGCAGTGAATGAAAAGAAAACCTACAAGATGACTCAAACTCTATTCAGGCTTACGTTACAAATCTAATGATGTCACATGGAATAAACGAAGCGACTCAGTTCCGCACGCCGACCGCCGTGACTCAGTCTCCCAAATTAAAGCGTCGCGTTAACACTTGCATTATAATACGCCCCGATAATGATCCGTACCGTTTGATTTAGACTCGTTCGGATGAACTGAAAGCAGACGCAACTGCACGTTTACAGTTAAAAGGTCCTTTCCAGATATGCGCTAAATTCTCCCGTCCGTCTCGTCAGGCCTCACATCACGTCAGGCGAGAAGGGGGCAAGTCAAAATAATTACATCACTTAACTTCCGCAGTCAGCAGGCAGAGTGATTGAAGCTGCAGAGCGGAGAGGAAAACCAGCGAACAGCATGATGGAAAACATGCAGCAGTTTCTTCTTCTCTTCTCAGCCTGACAGATTTACCAAACCTGAGAGGACATCCAGCATCAGAATCCCCATACGAGATAAAAAACAAGAAGAGTTTTTGCTTTCATTATTTGAAAGAAAGTTTACGATTAAGTTTATAGGAAATATGTTAAACTAGGCCAGTTATAGGCCACTGAACCGCTCCATAGAAATGCATTAAAATATGCAATCGGGAGTGTGATCTTTCTGAAAGTAAGAACAAAAAGCCTCCAAAAATAAAAATCTCTGCAGAGAGTTTGGTTGAAAAGAAGGTTTTGTCATTGGCTGAGATTTGAGCCCTCTGACAGGTGAAGATAAAACCAACCTTAATCTGCTTTGAATATATTTTAAATAATCTTCTCAAAATACAGACGGACTTAGCAAAAACTGAAACCTCAAACGGAAAATGCTCTGGCTTGGATAGAAGTATTAACCCTTCTTGCACTTTATGTCAAAGACGAGAACTCCATCATGTTTTATGTGACAGGGTGACACAAGGTAGAAGTACCAAAAAGGAGGCAAATAAAAACTATGCTCCATGTTTAAATTGGACCCTCCTTTACTCAGTTACTCCCAATTAAACAAAAATAGCTATAATAAGAAACAATACATTTGTGAGGCACATTATGGTATGTATGAGAGTGATTATCTGAAGCAGCGTGGCAGCTACCCTTTAAATACAGCCTCTCCGTTCTTTACTTACACAATAATCTTTGGAGCAAAGAGAGTCCCCCAAACCATTTAGTGTTCAGGTCCGCCTTAGAAAATCACCCAAATATAATATGTGAGAAAATTCCTTTTGACAGGAGTCTGCTTGACTTGAACATAAGAAGCCAACAGTGATATCTGTGAGCTGAAGTGGCTAAAAACAGACTTTTTCTTCTCCTTTGGAATCAGCACCAGACTGACTTCAAGGAAAATTGTGGAAAACTCACACAACCTCAGAGAGCCTCACAGCACACACAGAGAAACAAAATTACTTTCATCACTAAGCTTGGGTAAAGTGATTCTAAGGACTGTACATTTTGGAGAATGGTGTGACCGCAGAGAACCAAAGTTTAGGTGCACAATAAGCTTCCTTGAGTCGATCAGTCAGGAGTTTGTCTTGCAGATTATATGAAATGATAATTCATAGAGTTTAATTTGGGTTTCTCTATTTCGTCACCTGTTTTCTTATTGCATAAATAAGATGACACAAAAGACCCCACATGGGTTTTTGTAGGGGTATAAAAAGATCACAATATTAAAATGTGCCGTCATTTCTGGCTGTCGTCTGGACAAAATAGGTTTTATAATCCCCTGATATTAGGGTGAGAGCTTTAAACATGGCGCCCTCAATCTCGTCTAACACTCACATAGAAATCAGCTCTTTCTCCCAGGCCTGCATGAACAAAATGACATCGCTCGATACTTTCATCTCTGGTTTTGCACAACTTGCATTTGTTTTGGGGCAGAAATATTTTTCTTGCACCGTGTTGGACAATTTAGAAGCTACGTTTCCTGAGATTTCTTCAGGAATAATCCCATTTCACTTTGGGTCCATGTTTAACACTCCCAAATAAGCCACAAAGTAAGCTCTGACTGCTCATACATACAGAGATAATACTCAATGTCAAATTATGGTAGAAGACTAACGAGAATAAATGTTGCTAAGCAGTGGCTTCGTTTACATGAGACTGCTGTTTGGGAACTTTCAATATTTTCAGACGTTAATTGGGGAAACATGTATAGACAACACCGCCAACACACCTTGAATCCAGTGTTTACTTTAAGACAGTTTGAGATTTATGAAACACTGGGGCAACAAAAACATTTTGTGAACCAAAACGTTGTGTCGACTCATTAAGCATTTAGCTCCCCTAATAACTTAGGACTAAATCATACATGAAGTTCTGGTCAAAAACCAAGCTGTCAACTGAAAAAACGACAAAAAAAACCCCAGTTAATATTGCGAAACAATCTATTTATATTTAGATTTGACGCACTGAGGCATTCAGAACAAGCCTACCTGAGGCCGATTATTCATGTGTCCACACAAACACCAGCCACAGCCAAACGCTTTGTGTTCTCAAGTTGTCCTTCCATGTTTCGCCTGGTTCCGCCTCCGTGAACATATTATCCCTCAAACACCTCAAAGGGAATTGCTGGTTTTGCTGCAAGTCTTTCACTTTGGCTGGAGGATGGAACCATTCCTTTAGATGTCAAAGGTCAAAGCTTCTAAGACCTCGGAGTAAGCTACGCTTCACTGTGACATCATGATGGTCTGCGTGAAGACTGTGTGGCTGTTAGCCAACACCGGCACTTAGCATCAGACCTCACATTTGCTCAGGTGAGATAGTTCCAGTTTGAAGGGTTAAAATCTAAATAAAATGCATCTAATTTTGGATCTACTTCTGGTTCACAATGCTGACACGAATATTTGAGCGTATAGCCCACATAAGTACATAGAGCTGCACAGCAGAGATAAATAGTGATTGATTTTTTCACATAGCAATGTGGAACAGTGGACTATCCACCGTTTCACTATTTGCACACAGCAAATAGTGAAACGGCTCTATCTAAGCACACAGTTCAGGACTATAGAGTCGGGCAATTAGAAGTAAGTGCTAACTGCTCACAGAGAAAGGCTGCACCTGTCTTATTGTGAACGATCATCCTCAAGCCAGAGTGCAATCTGTCTTTTTTGTTTTTAAAATTTTTTTTTTATCTTAATCCCCACAAGCATCAAAAACTTTGGATTTCATGAGCAAAGCACTTTAGCGAAACATTTCTCTGTCACCAACAAGGGTTCCTGTGGTTATATATAAGCAGTGAGTCAAGTCTATGGTGTGTGAAAGCAGCATCAAGCTGTGCTGCTGAGTGATGCCTCTCTGTGGGGTGATCAATAGGCGTGACCCTGTCACAATAAAGACTCTTGCTGGCATCTAAAGTACATACAGTGCAATAAACGCTTCACGGGAATTTGTGTTTTGTTTTGTTTTTGCTTAACTTGGCTTTTGCACCTCAGTGGTTCTTGCGTGATTTACAACCAGTCACGTTTTCTGCAGACTAGTTTCTGTCTAGGCAGTTCTTATTAAAAAAAAACAACAACTAATTAGCTCCAATGCAAAGAGTCTCCTCTGTTAAAGCCATTACTCCTTCGCTGCTTGCACCAACAACTAAAGGCTCATATGATGGTGAGTAAATCAGCTCTAAGATCTTGGCTGTTCTTCCTCCACCTTGTTGTTTTCAGGGCCACTCTGCAGGTCAGTGATGGAAAAAAAACACTCTCACTCCCGTTAGGTGGCGCCCTGCCCGCTCTCTTCCCCCCACTCACCCCCACCCCCCACTCTGTGTTTTATCGCATCTTTGCGGTCTCGCCAACCTTTCCCATGATGAGAAATAAAGCTGATGTGGGCCCGAGCCAGCAGGCGCGTCCCTTCACTTCCTCACCCTGCTTAAATCTGCACTGTTTACCCGAACAGAACCAATAATTGTTCTTCTGCATATGCCACCTTCTCGTGGCACTGGGATTTCAACAAAAACGAAGGGCCACGCGCTGCGCGTTGTTGCACGTTTCGGCCAGAAGTGAACAACAACACGTTGCTATTATTGTAGTGGAAATCATCTGGCCACGCAGGTGGAGGTGGTTCTGCGGCTCTTTGTTAGAACCTGCTGCTGCCCGAGGCCGACAGTCACCGAGACGAAACACGACTTACGTCAAGAGTCCCCGCTGTGTGTTCATCGCTCACGCGCAGCCCAGTCACAAATCCCTCATTGCCTCGCGCCGTGGACCGAGCCGGTGGGTCGAGTGCGCTCGGACCAGATGTGTGACACTTTTCCAGAGGAGAGCGCCGGTCTGAGCGGCAGGCGCGCGGCTCCGTCGGGCTCCGGACCGAACCGACTGCGGCAGCGAATGTCACCAGAAGCGCTCGGCTCACTCAGCTGGCGTCACGTCCGAGCGTGTGTCACGCCGAGCCGCGGTGCGCGCGTGGCGAGGAGACGCTGACTGGGGGAGAATGAGGAGGAGGAGGAGGAGGGCTCTATTGTCTCGGCTGTGGATGACATCATCCCACACCAATGGCGACGCGCACGAGACGAGCGGAGCAGGGGCGAGCACGCAGCACGTGCGGGCTGCTGCTGCTGCTGGTGGGGAAAGTAAGTGGGCAAAAGGAGGGATAATAAACACAATGAAAATGAGAAAAGTGAATCAAACGTTATGTAATTTGAGCTAATTAACCACTACTTTGCATGATAGGCAGTTTCACTGTTAACTTAAATTATAACAGAAAGCAAGAGAGCATTGAAGCAAAAGTATTTCAGAACAATATAAAAAGACAAGAAATTCAACACTGTCATGATCAGTGTTGTCTACATTTCCAGATTTTCTCCCCCTTTTCATTACGCGCTTTCTAACAAATCCTTGTGATGTGAAAATTATACTTGTTGCTTTCACACATGTTGTTTCATGATTTACAGTGAAAATCTTTAAGGCTGTTATTTGGTGGGCCACCAACCCGGACCGAGATTCCTGCAGGAAAAACCCAACAAAAAAGATGAATTAGTTTTCCACAACAACCGCTCTTAGTCCTTTCCCTCAGCTTTAGGTTTCCTCTTGCTAGTTAGCAGTGACCTGAGTGTTTGTAGGAATACTTTTGTGTTAAAGCACCGCTGTGTGCAGTTATGTTTTTGTTACTATGCTGTCTGATTTTTAGAATGAATTTGACTGAAATTAAATGAGCTGAAGGCCTTCTAATTAAAAAAAAAGGACATTGTAGTTATTTTTTTCTTTCTAATGACCTGCTATGTGGTTTAGTTACCACAAACAGGTTTCTTCTCTTAGAGCCAGCTAAAATATTATCATTTCAACCGGTTTTGAGTTTTATTGTGATCACATGTTTTGGTTTAAAAAAAACAAAACTTAATGACATAGCTACTTTCATATTCATTTCTGAATTTATTTTGTATTTTCTTTAACTCTGACATAGAAAGCACCGTTTGATGGCTGGAATCAATAGAAATGTGTTTGGGTTGAACTGAAAGTGCCTTGAATCAACGCGTGTTGTGAATCGGTGATAGTTCTGACTTGAACAGAACCAAATTATGTCTCATTCAGCTCTTTTCAGACTCTTTTAATGGCTTCTTTTGAGGCTTTGTTATCTTTAGCAGGACTCTGTCCTATTTCGTTCGTCACAAGAAGAGGAGATGATTGGCAGGGATGTCACACTGACCAGGAAATCGTTTCTTCACTGTGTAAAAAAAAAACAAAAAAAAAATCACAAAAAAGACTGAAGCAATGAGCTATTGTCTAATTTTAGCCATTACAGCAGCTTTGGCTGGCACAGCTGCAAAAAGATAAAAAATAAAGCTGACAGTAGAGACGCACTGTCTATAATGGAAGGTCATATTTTATCTTTACCCTAAAAACTGCACAGCGTTTTGACATTTTAGTATAAATCTTAGCTTCATTTAATAGCTGTACAGCAGGATATCGTTACCTTGCTCCATTCAGAGCCACAAAGCGTTTTACATTAGCATATTTTTTTTCTTCTTCCTGTATCTCCTAAAACACATGTTGCACAGTTTCCCAAAGAGCGAAGCAATCTCACCGACTTCGAATTATGCCTCTGCGATAAATCCCCTGCCAACGCCGGAATCACTTTATCCCAGCAACCCCCAGTCACAGCTGTGACTTTAATGAGTGAAGTCTTTCACATCTGCAATTTAACAGCATGAGCCAGACAATAGTTCACATCCCATTTGTGAGGGACTTGGCACCTGCTGCTCATGATAAAATAATGATGTGCGAATCTGCTAATTGAAGGGATTATAACATTTGACACCTGCACTTTATGAGTCGACTAAAGTGCAGAAAAATGTGAATATCCCTCATTTCAGAAAGTATCATTTTTAAAAATAAGTCATGTTTATTGCTCACAGATTGAAAGATAATAACTCACCGATAACAAAAGAAAAAAAAAATTCGGTGTCTCAGAAAAGTGGACTATTATGTGAAAAAGACGAAAAGCAGTGTATTTTTTCTCATCAGGCTTCGTTGCTCCATAGAGGCTCTTAATGTCCTGACTTCAGCTCCTTGTGAAACTCCCTCAAATTGCTGAAAAGATATTGCTTGAGAATTGTCTCAAGCCACTTTTTCCTTCCACTCAACTTTTAAGGGATACCCACTCATGGTTGTCTAAGTCCAGTCCTCTGGAACTATCCTGTTAGTTTTAGAAGTACCCTTCTTGAATGGATTTTTCACTTTACTGTCGCCATCCTCTGTAGGCATTAGGTTACGTTTCACTTTATGCGCAATGAAGCTACACAAGCATGAACTTCATTTCCTGAAATAAGCAGCAAGAAATATGTAACGCTTTCAAAGTTAGAATTTTTCTAACTTTGAAAAATTTAAGGGTTGTAAATACTTTGGCAAAGCACGGTTCGTAAACAGACCGATCTAAGTAGTGAAAGATTGCCTCTGTAAGGCATCGCCTGCTGCTGGAGGGACCGAAAATGAAACACATCTTTATTTTCAATCTCCTCTGTCTGAAAAAATAAAACTTACCGACTCCTTTCTGTGCAGGAAGCTGACAACAAAAGTGCGAGTGTTTTTAGAAAGACGTAGAGAACATGAAGGCCGTCCAGCCTTCAATTTACAGCCATAATCTGAGACATGAGTTTAGTAGAAAACTTAGAGGAAGGGTGTCCAATGTGTGGCCCGGGGGCCATTTGTAGCCCTTGAAATGATTTTGCTCAGCCCCTGACTAAAAATCCAGGATGACAAGAATTTGGCCAACAACATAGAAAACCCCCAAAATTTGGAAATTGTCTGTTTTTTCTTTTAATAAGGCAACATTTATTCCTGCAAACTTTCAAGCCAAACTCTTTGTATTGCCTTTTTGCTGAAAATGTGGTACATAAATAAAATTCCCTTTACCTTTACAGTCTGAAGCCTTCGGCTCTTTAATGATAGACAGATTTAATTTAAAAAAATGTTGAGCAGGTAAAACTAAAATGAATGATTATGTATTTTAATTTGAGTTTGAACATTCGTAACTTGTAGTTTGTTTATTCCTCCTGAAGGGTCAAAGAACCTGCAGCACCACGAATCGTGAAGTATGGGCATTCTACATTCAAACATTAGCATTTCAGCTAATTGGCCCTTTTACAAAAAACATTTTTGTACATAAAGGAACAATTTACATATAAAAACCGAGGTTATTTTTCACAAATAGTACTGAATATTTTGAATTAAAGTGTATGTTGGATGACTGCCATGTCACAGAAACAAGAACGCCCTCAGATGATCCCAATTAAAGCATCCTTCAGTTTCCAAACCTTCAATCCTGTTCAGCAAGCGCGACAAGTTAAAAGGGATTTTTTATGTCTATAAATGGGGGGGAAAAAAACAGAAAAAACGTCTTTGAGTTATAGAGCAGAGTACAAGATAATTCGACCATGAACAGAAAATTGCATGCGCCCCCAAGTAATAATAATAATAATCTTTTTTGTCACACCAGGAGGTTTGCTTGCAAGTTAATGAGTTTGCAATTAAGGGATGTTTTTGCCTGCCATAAAGAGACAGTTATTAAGACACAGTGCTGCAGTTGGGGGATTATTCCAGATCCTCTTTTACTCCCTTGTAACATCATTCCCTGCATTTTCGCTGCTGCAGCTGCTAGAGAGTAAACAGGTGACGTCAACATTACCCAAACCTTAAGTTTTTTGTTTTTCTCAAACATGTAATTACGTACAAAAGTAATACAAACACGACACATCTTTCTGGGACCATAAATCATCAACATTTATTTCCACCTTTTATACATCAAACGTGCATATAAATAAAAGTAAAATAGATCATATAAATAGCTCTACAAGAATACAGTAACAATAAATATGGCTATACACACTCCAGGCTAAATAAATAATAATAATAATAATAAAAAAGACGGCTGTGTAACACTCTCAAGTAATACTGTACACACATTCTGTTCATAACACATTTTTCAAGTCAAATCATGAACTCTTTTGGTGCTATCTAATTGTGCTGATCGATGGAAAAGCGTCACTTTGCTTCCTGCTGTGCTTTTGTTGTTACAGTGTCAGCAAGACGGAGGTTAAAAGTTTTTCAGATCTACAAACAAACTGTCACGTTTCTCGTTTCTTTTTTTTTTTTAAATGTGAACAATACCCATGTACCATCAGTGAAGTCTATTCTTTAAACAATATTATCCCAGAGAAAGGCTCACCTGCACACACATACGCGCACGCACACATATCTGTAAACTTCATAAAATCTATCTAAAAGCAAACACTTTGCTTCAACTTCACAACTGTTGTAAAAAACAAAACAACAACAAAAAAAACAGGTAATTTCTTGAAAACCTTGGCTGTCTGAAACGTATGGAGAAGGCCGTGTGAGGAAAGGGAGAGAGCAAGAAACAGCTGGGATTCACATGTACAGAAAAACAACAATAAAAAAATAAATAAAAACACCAACACTTCAACAGCCATGTCCAAAAAGTCACACACGGCACTTTATAAAATAGATTACCGAGAAACTGTGAATCTGAGTACGTGCAAAAATAAACACACCGAGTCTTTCACAAAACTCCCACGCACAATGTTCATCCTTTACATGATATACCATGAATAGTTAATGTTAATACTGATTACACAAGTCCTTCATATTGCATCGAAGTTCTAATGTAACGTCACCCCATGCACCACCGTTCGTTTTTCATCCTCCACCGAGGAATCTCGAGTGTCCGTGTCAAGACTAAGCGAACCGAATCAGCAGGTTACACAAAAAGACAAAATAATGCTGTAAATGTCCAGCAAAAGAGCGGCTTGGCTGGTTATATACAGTTATATACAGTGAAAAAGTGTTGCACACCTCACAGATTTCTTCTTTGTTTTGTTTTTTTTATACACCTGGTTTAGATCATCAGACACATTTAAGATACTTCTACTGCCTCAGTAAAGGTCGGTGGTTATGATTTACCACTAAAGCTGTAGTAACGCTGTCTCTTGTTACGATTTGAAAATACCCAGTAAGGAGGTTCAAACTTGAGAAGAAGGGCGTTTTTTTTAAAAAAAACGATCAGGTTTAAGTTGGTGTAACGCTTTTGATGCACTCCTGATGTGAAATGTCCATGCATGCTGCAGATAATATGACTGTTGGTGTTACATTTCTGTGACGTCCCCGTCTTGTTTTATTTATTTCTTCAATATAAGAACAGACCGACCATCAGGGAATGAAATGTCAGTGCTCAAATAATCTAAAGCCAAACATATCAGTAGGTGACGGCTTAAGTTTCACTTTTGGTTTCCCTACTCCAGGTAGTGCAGGTATACAAACGGCCTGCACAGCCTGGTGTCAGACTAATTGAGATTAATTTGGTGTGACTGCTGTGACATCTGAGTCACAGTGGCATTGTTTCTGCAGCGGGGAATGAACATGTGCTGTAAACACGGCGTGGGAGCGCCGTGCCATTCACGTGTTGGAGTTCTACAAATTAAAAAAAAAAAAATCATTGCAGGGAGGTTAATATGGTGATCAAATTGTTTATGCTTTCAGATGAATGTGTAAAAGGGTGACGTGGAATCGTCTTTTTAGTGCGGCGTTGTGTCTTCCAATGCCTTTGAATCAAAAGGTTTCAGATCTAGGACCCCAGCTGTGGGAGTTCGCTGCTTTAGGACCAGGACGAGTTATCCTGATGTTATACGGGACAATGATCTGAAGCAGAGCACGAAGCAAACCTACGAATGGCTACAACATGGAACGGCCTAGCTAAAGGCTGGACTTAAGTCTGATTGAGAGCATGTAGCACGACCCAAATTAGGTTCTTAACGCCCACCAACCCTCAAACGCTCCTGACTTTTGAAGAAATCCTGCAAAGGAGCGTCAGTCAAAATTTGCTCCCAAGGACGGCTAAGTTATTACTTTACGGTGGCAATCATTTTACTCTTGCTATCATATTAAAAATGATTTGAAGATCTAAAACATGTCACTGAAAAAAAAAGGAAAAAGAGAAGAAATCTGTTGGTCGGTAAATACATTTTCACAGCACTGTAAACGACACATGAAATCAGTATTTTAGCGTAGGAAAAGAAAGTTTAGCTTCAGTGGCTAACGCTAGCTTTCGCAGCATCATCAGTGGTAACAAAGTCCTTAAGTGCATCATTTTCTAAATCTTGTGCTGTATCAATAATAAGTGATGATACAAATAGTTAGAAAATAGACAAAACAGTGAGAAAACTGTAAAAACAAGAAGAGGAGTTATGTCTGTGCTTATGTTTTTTTTTTTCTACTTTTGCCTTGCGTTTAGAAGCCAGGCACGTGGCAGTATGCCTCCAAGGAGGACAACAGGATATAGACGAGCCAGAGGGAGAGGAACAGGAAGAAGGTGAGGAGCTTGGCTGTCCGTGGGCCCCCGAGCTCGCCGGCCGAAACACTGGGGCGCCTGCGGTAGAGCAGCACGAGCACGCACACCAGCGCCATGATGGTGAAGAGGGTGACGGAGAAGGCCAGCGAGCCCGGGTTCACCTTGAATGTCTTACCTTTGGTCTTCCAGAAAACGGCGGCGATGGTCCACGCCACCCCGATGCCCAGGAAAACGTTCACCGCGTTGCTGCCCGTCACGTTCCCGATGGAAGCGTCGGCGTACTGGTCCTGGATGGCGGCCACTTTACTCGCAAATGTGTCTGTGGCAGAGAAGACGAGAAAAACTGGGTATGTCTTTAAACCTATGTGTCCAGCTGACGACAAATCACAGGGAATGTCAGTGGAGAAAGTCTCAGAGTCACCTTGCACAATTGGAGCAGCTCCAGTTTTCCTGGCATTGACTTTTTCTAATCACACTTATCAAAGCTGTCTGTGAACTGCGGTGGCCTATTGATGGCCGCATTGTCATTCTTGAGACTTTTCTCATCAGGATAGAAATCTTTCATTGTGGGATAACGGTAATTGCTTACGGCAACTCGCTCTCGATCTGCAGTGACCCTTCTGCCTACAGGAATAAGGTGGTTCAATCTGTGTCTGTATGCCAGAGCCAGCACACTGATTTGGCTCACAATGCAGATACAAAAGCTTTGCAGAAACACTTTTGACGTTGCATTTAGAAAAACCACACAACTGACAGAGTGTCAGGCGACGCAAATTTCGATAAACAAACTGTGGCAGGCGGAGTCGGGGCAGCAACGGACGAGCTGCCAGGGTTAGGAAACAAATTCAGGAGCGGCATCTCGTTATAACAAGGGCAGTTTTTCTTTGTCTCAATTTTGCAAACTACGAGATGCACAACTTGTCTAAATGGGAGACTTTATTTTTGAGAGATTCGCGTCTCATTAAAAGCAAAACGTGTTCCTTGTTTAAACGAGAAAAGACGTAGCAGTGAAACGGCAACATCTTGCGGGATGTTTGAGTGTCGTCTAGCAGGAACAGGACGCAGAATCAGAGGGAGCCTCTTTATGTTTTTCTAAGATAATTCCGTAATTCCCGACTTGAAGGACGTGTTAAAATTTTAACCAGACACGTCTACAGAATGTCTTTTTTTAGCTCTGGAAGTTAAATGCTACATATACATAGGTATATTACGGCACATTTTGAACATAATTACCAAAACCTCTGAATAAACGTATTGTGTTTAAAGCGATCAACATGACTTCAGACTGTCTGTCTTCCATTTTGCATGCTTGAGTTCTGCACTGAAACCCGTCAGCCTAATAGATACTCTTGTTGTGCCTCAAAGACACACAAAAAAGATTTAGGAAATGATGAGATGGGAATACAAGCCGATCGCACAAGTGGAACTGTGTTTTCCTTTGTTTACTTCTTGTTAAGGTGCTAAGTGAGAGCTTTGGAGGTAATTCCTCTGACAGCTCAGGAGAACAAGATGTTACGTAAGTCTCCCGGAGCAGCTGCTTCTGCGCCACAGGAAAAAAATCCCCAGAGGGATTACAGAGCAGGTTGATCCCTCGGCACGGACACCCACCTGGAACAGAGGTGCCGAGGGCAACGAACACCACGGCAGTGACAGAGTCCTTCAGACCGACGGTGCATCCAAAGTGCGAGGCCAAGTCGCCCGTCACGGCTGTCAGGGCGCCGATGAGGGAAATGGAGACGAAGAAGCAGGCCCAGCCATTCCAGTATTCGGTCGGGGGGACGAAGGCGAAGAGAACTTTCCAGAAAACCGTCAGGAAGTGCATGATGTAATCAAAGCAGGACGGCAGCCGCTCCTCCCCGCTCTCCTCTTCATCGTCGTCACCTAGCGGGAACACATTAACGAAAAGTAAAAGCAGTAGGAAGGAGCAGCTGCCTGAAAGGATATCTGGTGATTAACACGTCTTTCTTCTGCTGTTGCCGCTGGGGTTTGTGGGGTTTTTTCAGCACCAAGGAACCCGCGCCGCATAAACCGTCTGTCTGCTGTACTTAATGTTATCAAGATGTCATCGCTGTGCTAACGAGGACTTGGGCCCGACTTGACCCATGTGTTGTCAATATGCTCCAGGGGGAGCATGCCGATACAGGGACAGTCAAGGCAATTATACCAATTGATGGTTCACGCACGCAGGATCTGTGTGTTAGTCGCCATTTTCAAAACAAGTGTGTTCCACGGAATAATGCAAGTAAAATTCACGATTACCCTGTTGGAACAGCTGCTGCCTCCTTTTCTGTTCTTAAGTAGATGTTTTACAAGAAGCAAGCTGCTGTTGAGCCACTATTAAATTAAAAATATTATAAAACTACGTAGTTTTGACCCTCCTGATTTAAACCACATATATCACAGAGCTATTGGTCGATCTGCGGTGTTGGAAACTTTCACCAAGTCAAAGGGAATGCTCAGGGTCCCGCAAAACCTCGGGCTCGCCCTCCATGTTGGGTGGAGCGTAGCTGGAGGTTGGTTCAGGTTGAAAGTGAGTCATTAATCTCCACTGCTGCTGTGTGTCTGTGCAGGAGGTGAAGTCAGTAATTCAACCTGTCGAGCTTAGTGGACCTGACTGCCTTTTAACCAGTTGGCAGAGAAAATTTAATTACATTTTAATTCAGGCTGAACAGGAATGCGGGCAACTGAATTTGAATCTGTCTGTCTGTGACCATTTATGCACATTTGCTGCAATGTGAAAGAACATCTTTGGTTGAAAGAATGATTTTCAGGAACTGGAACGCAGTAAAACCTGGATTCAGACCATCCTGTCTTCAAGCAAACGGCAGCATGAGTCAACCCTCCACCAGAGAGCCTTCTCTATATAGTAATATAGCTTTAAAATAGAGCATAGCTGCAGGATACAGCAAAAAGAAAAAAAAATATCTTGTTGGTAATTTAAAAAAAAAACAGTAGACCTATCTGCAAACAAGGGCACTAAAAGCAGCATTGTGGTAAAAATATCCTGCTTACCGACAGTCGCTGTTTTGCTGTGTCCGTTCATTCGCTCAGTACGGAAAAACTCCAACACGCTGACCTGATCTGATTGTCGTTTTAAAAACATAAATACAATCACGAATCAATGCCTTTACTGCTGAGACCGTAATATCAACTGAAGGTGCAATTTCTGTTAATTTATACAGAATATTCTGGGATAAGTTCACAAAGCAGTGATATTGAAGTCATCTTTTGCAGCTGGTTTGAACACACCGTCTCCAGGTTTAATGCAAAGGACACGTAGCGTATATTGCTTTAAAACCTATGTATCTGCAAACAGCATTAGATGTCTGGATTTTATATATCTTCCAAATCAAGACCAGAACCTCATATTCCAGAAGGTTGATCCAGGAATCAAATTATTTGTAATAATGCATCTGCCAGACAGAATAATTCAGCGATGGGATTAGTTAGACGTCAGAGTGATAATGCAACACATTCAGTTAGGTCTCGTTCTGCTTCAAGGACACCAGCATAGTTTCTTTGTAAAGTTGTGACGATTTATGGCTCACCTCCTCTAAGAATAATGTGCATTCGTTTTGTTTAAATGCCCCAAATGACTCCAATTTAACCAAGTTCCCATCTTTTAGAAAAAATGTTGACAGACTTCATGTGAACTTGATCTTGAACTATGTCACATCTCATCTTTTCTCCGCTGAAATGCTCTATTGTTGTATTCTGAGTTATGGACTTTTAGACTAGTTTAAATATGCAGATTTGAAGATTTGTGTCTTGCTGTTGTGACGTCTAACATTTGCACATTTTACACGTGCATCTACTTTGCAGCTGCTGTTGTTACGGTTATGGCTTCTGGAGAGGACGGTGATGTCTGACATTAACGACTCCGAAGGCGACGATAGCGAGAGCTCTGATGAACTTTGAGACCGACCGTTGGAGACTGCAGGGCTGCTGTGCTTCTGATTTCAGTCTCTCTTTCAAGGAAAGCTTTACCGTCACTTCCTAAAGTTTGAAGTGGCTTTTCATTGCTAATAAAAGTAGTTTGAGGTCAAACTTGTGTCTTTTTTATATGTGTTGCTGTTTAGTACTTTGGAAAAAAAAAGACCGTCAATTGATGGGAATTCTGAAGATCCGACTACAAATGGAATAATTTATGATAATTATAGATCATTTTTTAAATTGTAGTAGCACAAGGCAGTGCTTTGATTAGACTTTTCGAATTGATAAAATTAAAGCTCGGTAAAACAAGGTGGAGATATAAAAAAGATTCATTTAGGAAGCTGTTGAGCCATGATGCAATGTGTATTTCTTGAAAACAATGAGGTAGATTCACAGCAGGAACAGACTTCCGTACATCTTCACAAATATAGCAAAGCGCTTTGCGAATTTACATATTTTCAAGCAAATGTCGCTGACATTAAGCTGGAACAAACAAAATGAAAACTTCTGCGTCGCGAAATTCGACTTACTCTCCGTCTGATTTTGTGTGGGAAAATCCGAAAGTTTCACAAAACATTCGGCTTTTGTGAAAGCTTTTACGGTGGGCCTCATCAGGAATTCAGCACATGATGCATTTTTAATCAGCTGTCAGCTTCAAACAGATGCGGCAAAATAAACGCTGAATCGCCGAAGGGAATTAAAACTTTCAGCCGAGACGCTCGTCTTTGGGGTCACGGAGAACGAAGCGCGACGAACAGCTGGCGGGACCTGATCCAGACCGCACGGGTCCGCCTTCGCCGGGAGGAGCGGGTGTAAGCGTTCGGGTCCGTGTGGCTCACCTGCGCTGACAGTGACGGCGCTGACAAACTGCTCCCTCCAGCTGCTGCTGCCCACCACCAGCGCCAGGTTGGTCTTCTTGATCAGCTTGTCCACTGTGCTCTGCAGATGACCACAGAGACAGAGACAGGCAGGCATGAGACACAGGTTATCGGCACAGGCTTAGCAAGAAGAGACGCGGGAGACGATGATTAGGTGACCGAGGGTACAACTACTGGCATCGCTCATCCCACTGGGGTGTAGAGTGAGTCACAAAACCAGATTTGGAGGGAGGTGGGGTTGGTCTGCGCTTCATGCCCACAGGAAACAGAGCCACTGAGGGGAGCCTAAGAGCCTCACATCTGTATCACGTAGCAGTTTAATTGCTCTTAAAGAAAAACACCGGCCAGTTTTGCACCAAGGCATCAGTTTACACTGCAACATAAACCTGTGAACAGAGTGTGTCCTGTGGCTGGAAGGGGAGTAATAACCAGGTTGACGTCATGGGGCCCTCAGATCGGATTAGCAGAGCAACCCATCGGCTAAGCAAAATAACTACTGTAGAAAAGGCCTTTTTTTCTACAGTAGTTATTTTGTTACTTTTAAATGTTGTAAAATCCCATCCGTTCTCTATCAATTTGTGCTGCAGCACGAACATGCTTTACAATTCAACACAGCCCGTTTGGTTGAGTTTAGACATTTGTATTCGCTGTAAAATATGAAATTGTGTCATTTGATGAAAATTGCTATAACATTTGGAGATGTCTCTTGGCCTCGTGTCTCAGTTTTTCTCTTAAAGGTTATTTAACACGCAGAGCTTTTGTAGTTACCTTTATGCTCCCTGCCCTCATTGCTTGAAATTTAAAAACTGTGGTATGTTTTTGTTTTCCTTCTTCTTTTTACTGTATCATCTGACCTACAAGCTAAATCCGAGCCTCAAAATGCCTCTGCTTTCCACGCAAGAACTCTGACAAGCTCATCCAGAAGATTGAGACAGAAATAAAGATTCCTCCACTTGCGGATGGAAATGATGAGAGTTGATTCAAAGTAACAAAGGGACTTGCAGATTCATATCCAGCACCATGACAGTCTGCTCACACTCTTTCTCCGCGCAGAGCCAAAAGGTAATGTCTACAGAATGATTCTTCGTGTTTCAAGTGAATTAAAGTTAGCTAGAAACAGTGTGAACCACAGCGTTTACCCACCAGCGCGAGATGTAAACAAGAGATCTAGTTTTAGGGGGAGGAGGAGAGTTACCTTGAACTCGTAGGATTCCTCAATGACCACCTCCAGCTTGGTGTGCTCTCCCAGGACGGGGCAGCCCATCTTTGACACGTCCTCCGGACCCACCGCCGTTTTGTTGTCGTTGGTGTCCCCTGCACAGATCAGCAGAAGCAAAAAAAACCCCAAAACTTTGATTAGACCACGATAATAACTAGAGTCAGCCGTTCCGCGACGCTTCGGAGGCTTGTGAGAGAACATCAGCGAACGAGCAGCGTCATGAAGACCAAGAACACTGTGAATCAGTAGCACTGAATCGGAGAAGAGCCACAAGAAGCTATCGAGAACTCTGGAGGAGCTGGAGACACATAAAGCTCAGGTGGAAGAACTTGGCCCACAAATCTAACTTTCATGCAGGGATAGCAAAGGGAAAGGCAACAGCTGTGCCCAACTTCACATTTTGAGGATAGAAACACCTCAACAACTGGACGTTACCACTGGCGGAAATGACGAAGAACATTTCCTGGTCAATGCTGCGCCCTTCAATGTTGTCGCCTGACCAAACATATTAACATGTGACTTTAAACATATTTCTTTTTTCTTTTATGAACTGAAGACTCACCGTGTCTCTGTCCCACCTCCAGCAGCACCGGCTCCTCCAGCACGATCGTGAACGTCTTATTCTTCTCATATTCCTCGTCGTCGATTATCTTCACGTTCAGCAGCTTCCTGGAGACAAACCGATGACAGCGAAACGTTTTAATCGGCTCCTTTGTAAAGATAAGTGTCAGGAAATCTTTTTTTTTTCAGCACACAAACAACTTGATGATTATGTCCACGATTTATTGCGGAGATTCGGGTAAAAACAAATGTTTCAGCCTACACAGTGAATCATGAAGCCGTTAGGTAAGAGGGTGGAAGCTGAAGTGCTCCACAAAAATATCCTGTGGATTTTTTTCCCCTCCTCCTTCTTTTTCTTTCCCCCATCCCTCCACAAGAGGGCGCGCTACTTCTACATCATTAAGTCCATTAACGCACGAGCGTGCGGCGAAACGGCCCACGCCCCTCCCACGCACTCCACGTCCTCATTCAGATCACCAGAGAAGTTCGCAGTGGAAATGATCAGCGCTAATTTTCAGGGAGAGGTGGGGGGGAAAGAGAGGGAACCCAGCAAAAGTCCTAAACCTCACCGAGAAAAACGCATTTCTTACATCTGAGTGCAGCACGAAAACACGAGGCGTAGAGCTGTGACCACCATGTTTTTTTTCTCTTCTTCTTCTTCAGCACCGCTTCGCTCTCTCCCCCTCTCTCCGTCTCCCTAATGATATGTGGGCGGTTGCCTATTTCCGTCTACACTCTTACACTCCGGGTCTGACAAGGCGCGGGGAGAACGTTCACTCGCAGAACACAAGATATTTTATTTTAAACGCCACTGATCACGTCATCCCGCTGTTTAATGTCAGGGAGAGTCATGCCAGTGGGAGCGGAGTGAATCCTCGCAGAGAAACAGAGAGTTTGTGTGCATGCATGGCAGCTTGCTTTGAAGCTTCCTGTTTAGGTCTTAAAATAAAATAAAAAACAAACAAAAAGAAAACTGTGAAGGTTCACGAGGCAATGTTTGCCCGCTAACATGAGCTGAGGTTTATTGTTCAGCCATTTTGTTGGCGTACAGCTTACCCATTTTGTATGAAAACTAGTTTAAACCTAAGTCAAGGTTTTCCTCACACCGTGCCGTCATGCAGTGACTTCAGATTTGTTGCTTGTGCATTCAGGACATGGATCTCATGTGAACTGGGCCATCACTCCATTCACACAGATGAATAAATGGATACAAACTCATATATTGGCAAAAGAAAACCCTCCATCAGTATTCCCAATAATACTTTCATTGCATTTCACTTCCCAGGGTTCATACATGATCAGGTCGAACCAACGTTTGGAAAAAATACACTAAAGCTTCGACCTTCATCAAAACATAAAGCATGACCTGCTTCTAAAAAACTATCGTGTATTACAATATATTTAGTCAGTATGAATATGGTTGCATTTCAAATTTTTTCTCAGCTTTATGATATTCTTCTGTTTTCTGCTGATGCGTCAATGTTTTCTGAACTTTTCAGTTGAAAAAGGGTCAAATAAAGGTTATATAAACATACAATAAATTCACCTCGCTCTATTAGAAACCAGCTAGGGCTAATGGGAGCCTTACTTAAAGCCGCGGCTCGTCTTTTGCCATGGAGATGGCGGCAGTGTGACGGAGCGTTCAGGTTTCAGAAACGTTTACGCAACAAGGCCTAATGAGTGACGGTTGCTAAGCAAAAAAAACTGTTTGATGCAAGTTTGCAAACTCATTTGTGGAAACATGAAAGAAAAAAAAGAAGGTTTTTGTTCAGTCTGGAATAATCTTGTTAGGTTTCAGTGATTCACTGGATGTAAATAAAAAATTTAATTACTCCTATTTTTTTTTTTTACAAACAGAAAAAAACACTAACTGGTGTTTTAAATATAGTTATCAGCAAATAATAAACTAATTAAGGGCTACCTGAAATGTCATTGATTTTAATCAGGAGCCAAATATGTAGCTCAAAATTCAGGTTATGTGAGTCGTTTTAATTGACCGTATGGATTTATCTGATCTTATCTGAGCCGAGGCTCAGGCGTGCCGACTTGAGAAAGTGCAGAAAATTATGGATCGGTTTCGAGAACAGAAGTTGTTCCCAGAGATGGACGTGGCAGGTAAAATAGGAGACTAGTTGGACAAACATCGACAGGCTAAATATCGATCGCCTTCATTTGCCGAGAAGCAGAGTGCGTTTCTTCGAGAGAGTTTGGAATAACTTAAACACAAAATCAACCGACCTCACAAAGTCTGACTGACCGATTTTATCCCATCCTGATAAGTTTTAGACAATGTTTCTCATTTTCTATATATTGGCTCAGAAAGTTGCTGCTTTGCACAGTTTGGGTTTTAATTAAAGTATGGATTCACTTCATATTCACTGTGTGATTTGCTAACGTTGCTGTTCAATTCTTCACCTGGCGAACATCGAGTCAATTTGCACCCAATATCCATCCCATCATTTCTCCAGTGGTATTTAAAATCGGTGTTACTGGAAGTTGTGGAGCATTCCCCGCATTAAATGTTTAATGTGAGGTTTTTTTGGATGGATCCAGAAGGCCATGTCCTAAGGCTGACCCACAGCATGCCTGAATAAATAATAAATCACATCAACAAACAGCTGTTTTGTTTAATATGCAGAAAAACATTGGAGCCATCTTTGAGACTTATTTTATTCCACCCGTTTGGCAGCAAGGGCAGCATATTTCTGATTTTCTTTTTTCCATTTATTCATGGAAATCTCATTACTTTTCCACTATGCAGAAGTGAAGGTATGTATCATTTTAAAGATTTTACAGGCCTCAGGGAATGGAGGAGCCTAACATCTCAAGGTTTGTAGAAATGGTTACTCTTGCGGTCAATTTCTTCTTCAGTTGCCTCGTTGTAATGGTTGCATCGTTTTGTTCATATGCAACAATCTCCTGGACTGGATATATTATGACCAACATGCAGGTGGTTTTATTGAAGGCTTTTAAAACCTTCTGCCTTTTTGCTCCGATGTTGAGAGGAAGCGATCAGCTGGTCAGATATCCACCGCTTAGCTGTTTCAATGGACTCCAAATTTTAATTTGATAAAATGCAGGTATTTTTCCTTTTCCAGGTTTTGTAATTTTACTGAAAATCATTCCTACAGAGATCATAACCAGGACACTGACCGGCACACGAGAAGTTTTTGCACTTCGATATGTATTTCTCCAATCAGTGTTTAGCATAATAAGCCATATGACCATTCAACATTTTACGTTATCTCTGTTTATTTTACATGAATTCAGAGAAGCTGTTGGAGAGTGAAAAGAGTCATTTCGATTTAATGAGCGGAGCCATTAAGATGCAGATCTCCCATCCCATCAGCACCGACTCAAACTTCCTGTGTTTGTGGGAAGCTGCTCTCACGCTTTGCAACCAGAGGGACAGACGTCAGATAGGGTCCCGTTTATAGACAGTCATATTCAACGAATTTGAGTATCTATGAAAAGTTTGTCTCATTCGCTCAGATGACTGAGACACATAATCTAAACTATTTACAGTCCAGATGTTTTGAAGCCTTTATTTGTCTTAATTACAATTATTTTCTGCTCGCAGGTAATGAAAACGTGACGTTTAAGATGAGAAACTACACCAGACGGATGAAATTAAGCTTCATTAAGACACCTCTAACTTATGAATGAGTGATTTGAATCCATTTTTAAACCTATTAATCTGAACAAACTCGATTTTTGTCAAGTGAAAAACAATTTTTTTTTCTTACAGGAATTCGTGGAGTAAAAATGTTCACCATGCTGCTGAAAACCCTGCATTTCATTTATCTGATTTGTAGGAGGCGCAGCCTCAGTCTTTTCAAGCCGTTGTTGAAGCTGCAGAGCATTTCCACCGAGACTTCAGGGCTCTCACTTGAAACAAATCACATTGCCTTGTGCCTTGTTCATCTCTGCCTGCCAGTCTCGGGGAGTTTCTGAGAAATCTGCATCGTCGTCCGGAGCTGTTGCATCATGTCGCAAACTGTCCTGTCTGCACTTTGAGGTCTTGTGCACTGCAGCCTGGCTGGCCCCAGGTGGGAGCAGCAATAAAACCGCCCAGTGTTTCTCACATTGCATAAGAGTCTGATAATGTCAATTAGAAAAAAAAAAAGGAGGGTACGCCTTATTTCAAAATTATTTCACTGGAATAACAGAAGGAAAAGAGAGACCGCTTTTGTCTCGTGTGTGAACATAAGAAACAGTAAATAATTATCATTTTAAAGCTCTTTTCAGTGTCTTAACCCAGAGCTGAATCTCTTTATTTCAGCCAGGATGTTATAAGGCTGAGAAGAGCAGAAGAACAGAACAGAGGAGATTATAAATAAATATAAATACTCATTGATTTATCACATCTGGACTGTAATGATTGAGATAATTACTAGTTTATAGCGACATTCAACGTCTTCCACTGTATTCAGTCACCGACAGTGAGGATAAAAATGTCAAATATCAATGAAATCTCTTAGTTTTATGCCGATTCTCAAAGTTTGCAGAGTTAATCTGCTCATAAAGAAGATAATCGTCAAAATCAAAGCTTTTGATTCTAATCAATGCAATTCTTTTCGACAGTATGATGACAAGAAAACAAATTATATTTAATATAGGTCAAATGATATATGTTTTTTAATTTAAATGTTTTTTGGGTTGGTTGGTCTCTTGCTTTTATTAAATTTAAAATGTGTTTGCATGCAGTCTATTTTCTGACTGTCTTTTCAGTGGGTAAAAGACGAGCATTATGTGACTTTGGGGCTCAGCAGTGCCCCCTATTGGCCATGCTTTTCACCTTGCACTCCACATTTATGACCAATTAGACTAAAGATGCCACGCACATTTTTTGGGGGCTCATTTTCAAACTTTCCATACTCAAAACAAATAAGAAAAAAACACAAGTCAGAAAGAAGTTAGTTAAATTAGTTAAATTTCCAGCTAAGTCTGACGTACTCATAAAAGGAAACATAAAACTGTGTCAATTAAATTACAATTACTTTAGAAAAAAGACAGTGGAATATCAACACATATGGTATATGTGCAATCAGAAAGAGATCTGTTGCCAAACAGCTAAATAGTCATTCCTAGTAAATCTGAGTCTTTTT